CCACCACCACGACTACGTGGTGTTTACGTAACCGAACCGACGAAACGAACGACGTACTAGTACACAGACGAAGAAAAAATAAACGTCGTCTATATATATATATATATATATAGTTAAGTGTAATTTTAGAATAGTTTATTTTAATAACAGTGCAAAGAATTCTAGTGAATAAATATTCACAAATTTTATTCCCACGTTCTACTTTCTGCCCGTTTTGGTGGATAGACATGAATTTGTTGCGATTAAAGAAAACTTCGTCCATTGCCACTTAACAGTTAGAGTTTAGAAGCTGTTTGTTTTAGAACTTTCGCGAATAGCTGCAAGGGCTATCTAAACTGATAGAGTAGAAGGAAGGTAGTTAGTTATCAGCACCAACCGCCACTCTTGAGCTACTCTTGTCTGACCTAATAACAGGATTTTACTGTCATTCTTTTAAGACACCCACAGCCCCAAACGAAGCGCGTTTATGCGGAAAGGAACACAAACCGTGAACTTCAAAATCATAATCCGTACACGCTAACCATAAGGCCACGCTCGACTCTTGTAGAGCTGATATTAGCGTTAAAACAACACCATTAGTCGGTAATAATATTCTTAAAATCATAAAATTCAAAGGTTTCACATAGGAATCATATTCGACCCCTGAGAGTACACCCAGGAAAATGCAGTGTAGGGTAAAACTGGTATATTCAATTAGTTGCATTTTCACAGCGTCCGTCCTTTCGAGTTCTCAATTGTAGTCAACATTCTTGATATTTGTGATAATTAAAACTTCTCTTAAAACGAAATAATGAAATAGGATATTTTTTCTCTATATGCTTTAGCAAGCCTTGCTGGTTGATGATGTGTATATCTAGTGAAAAATTATTTTATATTCAAAGATTTTTCTCAAGTAGTGGTTCATGTTACCCCAGGATAGATTTTGGACATCTATGAACTTTTCAGTTCTGCTGCTCCTTCCTTCTACCTTTCTTTTTAGGCTCGTTCTATTTTCAGGGTCACAACCTGTTAAAAGAAAACTTGCTAGACTAGGTTTTCGCTTTCTCGAAGGAATGTGTACGTGGTGTAAATAGCATGAGTAGAATTTTCTCCATTAAAATAATATTTTCCTATTTGAAGTATATAATGGTTTGGTACAGACTATATGATAAAAATCTGGAGAAAAAAAAGGGTATGACTTAAAATGCTAATTAGTGTCTGTAAAATGCATTTGTTTTATCTTAATTAAGCAGAGTGTTGCATTATAAGGAGTTTATCAAAATCGAATTATTTCAATGTATAGTAATGCTAGAGTGGACAGAAAGTTCAAAATACCATTATCAAAGAAAATAAATATATGTGAAACTGCCGTGGCTACTTTGAAAACCTTGTGGTTACCTTGACAACTACTGCGGTTACCATGATATCTTCTGTGGTTATCCACACAACTAGTGAAACTTACTGAAATTTATTGAATCAGCATGGCGATTGTCAACTTCTCAGAGAAAAAACATAACTACTATGTCGATCGAATTACTTTAAACAAATACATTCTACGCACATTTTGATGTATATTTGTGTGTACTCTTAATGTTGGATATGTTTTTGATACTCATGTACATAGATGTCCTGCGCTAGACAAAGACTGGAGCAAATATTCTGTTATTTCGCACAGTTTAGTCAGAACGCGGGATCATAGTGCGTGATCCCTTAATCCTAGCTAATGTATGTCAACAATAATTTCCATTATGTATACGTAAAGGAGGTAAAGATACAATAACTTGTACAAAACTCTGTCCATCTCATCAGCTTGGATACCGTCCACACACCAGGGAAGCGATGATGAAGAAAAAAATGGTCAGACACTTACAAGTCTTCACAAAGTGACCGTTGTAGTATGTAACTTTTTTTTTTTTAAGAGAGAGGACTAGAACAAGCTTACGAGCTTTCTCATCCTGTTCAGGAGAACGTTAACTAATTAAATGCAGTTCACTTGCACATAAAATATTTTAAGATATCTATTTGAATAAACCTATACTACTTACTAGTTATGGTAGAGTGGATGTTGTTGTTTTTTTCAATTGCAGCATTTTATTATTGCATAGCCAATATTTGCATAAAAATAAGATAATCACGATTTTACATGGTTCTTACTGTAAACGAAAATAATAATCGTTGTAAAAAAGAAAAAGAAACTATTTCAGCTTTCAAACAAATCTTATTATCATGTTTGCTGTTTTTCTTCTGGTGACAACAGTTGACGTTCTGTTGAACTGAAAATAATTTTGTAACATTACCCACGTTTACACTGTAGTTCATAATAAGGACAAGTTCACTTATGCAAAGATACAGATGTTCTGTGTTATCTTTAGATCATAAAGATAAAAATGTGATATATTGATCAGTTGGTTTTGGTTTCATTATACGTTCTGTTATCGCTTAAAATATTAAACTTTAATTTAAATGATGTGATGAACTCTTGTTCAAGTAATTATTGTAAATCAACATCGTTCTAAAAAAATCAGTAATAAACGGTTTGTAAATATAAGGGTATAAGTTGTTGCATGACTTTTACAAGTATTCGTCCAATACATGATTATAGAATTTGTAAGGCTATTATATTATAGTTGTTGAAGGTGAACTAGTTGTCATAGTGATCTAAATCAACATACAAAATGTAACATTTTTTTTTCAAGCAATTCGTGCGATATTGTTGTGTTTCCACTGTCACCTCGGGCGTACTCGATTGCTAAACCTGTTGTTTAGGTGTATTGACTGCACTAGCTGTGCTGCTGGTACCAGTTCCTTCTCATTTCCATTCCTTACATTCCAGACAGGGCCTTTTGGAGTCAGCTACTGCAAAGGCTGCAGGCACTGCTTTAGTCAGCGGGGCGTAACCCTACTATTGGTGTGGTTTTCTTTCGGAGTAAGGACTACATATAAAGTTTACTGACAAGACCTCGTAATGTGAATAAACTGAAACAAACAACAATAGAAACAAGTATTGATGTTTTTTAGTATATGTGCCCCACACGGTATGCTATCATAACAGCAATACATTTGTTGTTTTTTAAAGGGGTGGGGGGTCAGATATTATTTACTTTTTCTGTAAATGTATATGTTGTTTTGTGATGCTATTCCTACTATTCTATGGTGTAATTCAAAGGCTTTCGACTTTCGAAGTATGGTGTTAAGCTTTCGTATTTAGCTCTCTTTATAGTCGTTGAATATGAAATAATACCCAAGAGAAGCAAAAAGACCAACTTAACTTTTGTAGCGAAAAATATAGTTTAATGTTGAAAGCCTTTCTTCGAGAAAAGCTTAGATTATATCATTTCTCTTCTGAATATTCAAATTCGCAAAGCTCAAATTAGCTGGACAAATTATGAGGAACTATCCCAATAGTTGTTTATATTCGCAACATGTGGTTATTGGCAGTTAAATTATGTAATAACTGTGTGCTGACAGTGCTTGAAACGGTTGAGTGGTGTATGAATCCAACGCATGAAAGCCTCGATGGAGTCTTTCTCCTTCTGGTGACGTCACAAGTTCGCTAGCGCACGTCGCGGCGTTAACTTTAAAGCCAGACATATAGACCCGGTAACAAGATAGATGCAGGATTGAAAGTCTGAATCTGTGTTTTCACGCTTTACCTTAAAGGGTTCAACGTTTTGAGCTGAAAGAAGAAGACGTTTATCTGCAAAACTCCATCGTTAGGGTATAGATTTATGAAAGATCCTAAAATCGATGACGAAAATATAGCGTGTTAGAAGCATCCAGCTGGACACGATTGAGACATTTGATGAGGTAAGTTACGAGTAGAGGTAGCTTCTGTAGTTAGTAGTCAGGCACGCTTCGGACGTATCAGTGAGCGCTCCTAAAGTGTACTACTCGGTATAAACATTATATTTCTATAATCAATAAGCTAGGCCATTTGAGATTTAAATAGGGAAGGAGTGGGGTGTCAATTTCTTGCGGAAGTCCAGGTAGCGGCTTCTGGAAGCGCTTTGATTTTCGTAAGGTGGATATTCAATACTTGGCTTGTCTTATATTGTATTGCAGAATTAGAGCACACACTTTAACAGTATAAAACTGATATAGTTGTCAGGTGCTCCTAATCTTCTTCGGGGGGGGGGGGGAACTGGCCCTCCTCACAGTTAGCGAGCCTGTAAACAACAGTAGTGCACTGTTTATAACCTTGTTTTAGCATCTAACTCTTACAGACTGGGACATTGGGTTGTTCTTGTTAGTGAATATTGTATATAACTAGAATTATCGAAGCCAGACCATAATAGATAAGTTCGATGACGAGGAACCCACTTTGAGACTAATAATGGCTGGAGACGGCTTAAATGGGTAATGAAGAAAAACTTTAATATAAGTTTAACATGACAGCAAATGTACAACGTTTCGACAAGGTTTTGTCAAGGTTTGCTGTCATGTTAAACTTATATTAAAGTTTTTCTTCATTACCCATTTAAGCCGTCTCCAGCCAATAATAGATAAGTATTTTTGTAGCATGGTTAAACACTATCAAAACGCATAAATACTATAATTATTGAAAATAAACAGATAATTGTTATATTGGAAACTACCGTCATGGTAACGTATAGGCTCATATATTTTTAGAAACTATATTATTACTCACAAGGTCGGGCGTGGCCTAGTGAAAAGTGTGCTTGGACTGTATATCTGATAATTCAAAGTTCGTATTTCGTTGCTGCAGAAACTCGTTACGCAATTTGGGGCGTCGTGCAATAAGAGTAACGGGTGGATCCTACTATTCTGTTAGACAAGAGTTGGCGGTGGGTGCTGTTTACTATAACTGCCTTCACTCTAGTCTGCTGTAAATTAGGACGGTTCTTTCGTAGTAGGCTCGGCATAGCCAGGTGGTTAGGGCGGTCGACTCGCAATCTGCGGGTCGCGGGTTCGAATCCCCGTCACACCAAACATGCTCGCCCTTTCAGTCGTGGGGGCGTTATAATGTGATGGTCAATCCCACTATTCGTTGGTAAAAAAGTTAGCGGTGGGTGGTGATGACTAGCTGCCTTCCCTCTAGTCTTACACTGCTAAATTAGAGACGGCTAGCGCAGATTGCCCTCGTGTAGCTTTGCGAAAAATTCAAACAAACAAACAAATCTTTTGTAGCTTTGTAAAAAGGTCTGACACAAACAAACAACTTAGTGCCTCAGTAAGTTTTGGATAGGCTGGAAGCAGTGTGTCGTATCTTATCGTTTTATAATTTTGTAAATTGTTCATTTAACGATAAGGTAGCATATATTTGTTGTAACCCAAGTGCGGAATCTGTTTGTGTAATAATTTGTCCACTATAATGTTAAACAGCACACTTTAACTGTAATTTTTTTTCTTATAAGATGTAATAATGTACAGTTATTTTGAGGGGAAAGAAAGCTTGGCCATTTATGTTAGAATTAAACGTTCAGCAACTGTACTATCCTAGTACAACGCAGTCATGAACTGGCCTACGCAACATAGGAAAGAAAACACACTCAAAGCTCAGCTTATCTCGTGTAACAATACGAAACAGTATATTGTTTTCTTATCTTCCTTTAAACTTGAGAGTTGCAATAGAAAAATTAGTTTACTTATTGTTGATGAATTCTCAACAGTGTATGATTGACTTTCAGTCTGTCTACATATTGTTTTGTGTATACTAACAGTAGCAATTTCGAGTACGTTCTCGTTAATTTTGATATACCGTGTGAGAGATGTCGTTTCTTGTAGGGGCACACCGAAACCCATATTTCTCAGCAATACCTTAATATCGTTTCTCATCTTCTCGGTGACTTCAGGTTTTTCCAGTAAACTCTTAAAATGCTGCATTCTGTTTGTGTTTCATCGTAATCTAGTTTCTCAGAACGACCGTATCAGAGGTTAGCCGTCAAGCTACTTTCTGAACCAAACGTCAGAGATGCTGGAGAAATCTACGAGCTTGTTTATAGTGATTCGATAGATCATTGGTATTATTGTCGGATCTTTTTTCCTTACTCTCTTTCTCCTTTTGGGTCACCTGAATAGCTTATTTAATGTGTATCACCTTGCTATCCATATAAATAAAGCTTGTTGTCCTGCTCTTCTTGATACCCTCAATTTACATATTTTAGTACAAAGCTCTGATTCAGTGTGCCATATTTGATCCGAATGTCCATTGAGACAACTTTGTGCTAATGTGTATCTTACTGTTCTTCAGGTAACATTAATACCTGTACTTACGGCAAAGCTACTGGCAAGATCTGTTATTGACCTTCGTCTATTTCATAAAGAACGTGCCCATTTAGCGATTTTTTTTCCTTCACCATTTTTGTTATTAACAGTGCCAGTTTTACGTACCCGTTTCAGAGTCTTGCATATGGCTTCTACGGAAACATTAATCTTGCTGCAATGTTTCGCACGAACTATCTTTGTTTCTACACTTGTGTACGGTATTTCAATCTTAGGGGCCAAGACTGGATTCACACTCTACTACTACAACTACTGCTGGGCATAGTATGACTACCTGTACTTCTATAGGTTTTATACAGGTGTGATACATTATGATTGACTGGGTAAAAACAGTTACAGTGTAAGCTATCAGCACGTGAATGTACTCTGGTGCAGTTGATTTCTCACATAATAAAGGGGTGGCATTCCCGTAGTATTTACCTTTTATACTCCCCTTTCCCTCACAATGATAGTGTTTGTTACTTTTGTATTTCTTGATAATTCCAACGCTCGACGTAAGTGAAAATTCTGTTGTTTTTTATTTTTGTAAAGCTTGTCAATATCACAGTAAATTCCAGTTGAACATATACTTGCCAAAGTCCTTGATCCAATCCCGGTAGACTTTTGTGCCGTTTATCTATTTATACACTTGCTGGAAAGTCGCAAACCTAATACATTAGCCGGATTTTTGGAAAGCTGCAGAAGGAGGTGGAGACATCGACATGGCTATTCTCCAAAGAAGTCCGATCATGTGAAACAATACTACAGATTTCTTATGAAGAAACAGGAAACTAAATACAACATGATCACAATCACAGAAATTTATCTCTCAATAGGGTCCAAATAAAGTATGTGTTGCCAATATAGCCAATCTTTGTATGACCATCAGAGATACCATATGTTGTTGGGTTTTTTTTTCATAGGTGTTTGGAATGATAATATAACAAGTAATTTCTTGAGTTGGTTTGCTTGGATAAATCCTAATCTATCTTACATCTTAATGTAACCTTGACTTTTGTAATATCCTATCAGATATGCCGTTGTATTTTGGTTAGAGGTTTAAAAATATACTTATGATACCAAGAAATCACAGGATTAAAAACTAGATAAATCACACAAACATGCTCACGCAAAAAAAGAAAGAAAAAGATAACAGTGGTGAATTGATATATTCGATGTTCAAACTGACAGGTCAATTTATTTACTACTTTCAGCATTTCACAAGCTCAGCTATGGAAAAAACAAGGATTGGTGGGTTTGATGTACCTTAACCATGATGCTCTAAGTAATGAGCCACTACAGATACATGATTTTTTGTGCTTCCAGTGCATTTGTGAAGCTGCTCTAGCCATGTACACGTGCTTATTTTACCATGGAATGTGTTGTTACGGCTGAGTTAGTTAACAGCGAAATAACCGAGATGATGAATGCCATTCCTGACGTTAACTCCAGCCAGCTGTGGAACATAGTTAACAGAGAAAGTGGAAGGTATATTTCGGATCATCCTGAACATGTCCGTGAACTTTTTTCTTTAAATTACATCCTTTTGTTTTTGTTTTTCCCTTTTTTTTTGGGGGGGGGGCACTATTTGGCATCCACAAAACTTGAATGGCTAACTGAGTGATGTTTTAAAGATCACCAAAAACTTAGACAAATTGTGCTTGAATTTACTCTCCATGCTAGAAAAGTTCAATTAACGAGCTCTGATCTGTCTTATGAAGAGATATTACTCCATTACAATATGCAGATATAAAGTTTCGTTATGCGTTTCTGTGCACGTTTCAGTGTCTCATTCGGACCAGTTTTAGGATCTTTATTCTTTCTACGACTATTCATGCTTCTGTTTATCACACACATTAGATAAGTTTTTACCTTGAATTTGGACCGGATTCTAGCAGTAAGAGAGTATTTCGGATTCTACATGCGTATCGCCCGAAACGTGTTTTGTTGTTTTAAAATCACGTTTCAGTTCATCATTCTTTCGTAGAGGTGAAGAGTGTAACTTTCCGTTTCAATATGAGAGCCGGATCTTTAAGATTTTGCTGATTTCATTAACGTTTACCATCAAACACACAAAGTATGCTGATATCATGTAATCTATTCATTTAATCTTTTATGAAAACTCTTACTATGTAATGTGAAAACTAGTTGTTCTAAGAAAAACTGAAAATAGTTAATATCTCACAGTTGTAAGAAATGTCCATCTAAGCTGATGTATTACAGTGCGAGAAATTATAAAACTTAAATGACGTATAACGATAATTAAAAAAAGTTTTCCTGTTGTATTTACAAAGTTTGAACGTAAAGCCTATAGTTCTATAGTATAGAATATAATAAATCCTTTGAACCTAGGATTTGGCACACAAGTTGAAAAATTGAAGGTTTTTTTTTGGGGGGGGGGATTATACATTACAGTCATAGCTGGGCCGAGCGTGGCCTAGTAGTTAGTGTTCTCGGATTGTGAATCCGAGGGCTTATGGTTCGCAGTTTTTATTGCAAAAATACGCTTCGCTCGTTGGAGCTGTGTGTGTGTGCTGTTAGAGCGACTGTCAAATCTCACTCTTCTGTCAGATATGAGTAGCCCA